GAATATGTCCACATATAAAAAATATTAAGTATATATATATATATATATATATGTGTATATATTAATATACATTTTTATACATAAATATATTTTGACGCCTTATATATAATTATATTTTATTACATTTAATTATATATAAGAAATTTTTTATCGAGTAGTATATAAAAGCATATCATTTATTACTTTCAATCTTTATATATGCGCAATGAGTCCCTTTAATTTATTTAACTTACACTCTTGCTGTTTTTCCGGGTTGAATATTATTCTGTGTATTCGATGTAATCGTCCTCTTATCGCTACCTTCTACTACAATAGGGACGATATAAGTTGTCCCAGCTGGTTGTTCTAGCCGAGGTGAAGATGTAACATGGATCTGAGACTGTTCCTGTGCTTGCGGATGATTTTGCATCTGATTTTGTCTCATCTGTTGTGCAGGTACCTGACCCCATCGTTGCTGATGATGCAGAGTTGGTTGCTGTTTAAATTGATGATGGCCAGATTCATGCTTCACGTCAAATACCGATGGCCTATCTTCGATCTAGAAAAAGTATGAAAAAATAATGAATGAAATAATGAAATAAAAGCACATCTTTTAGACCACTAGACACGCGTAGGAAATTAACGTTACTCAATTTACCCGAATGGGTATAACGCGCTCCTGCTGATGCAACGGCGAGCTAATTTGTTGCGGTACAGATTCGATTGGTCTCTGCCTTTGCTGCTGCGGTTGTTGACACCGTTGAGATAACTGTTGCGGTTTCGCTTGTTGAGGCTGATATTGCGGAATCGATTGTGGTTTTTGATCCTGCGGTTTTTGCTTCGCTTGTGAACATTGCGGAGACGATTGCTGAACTTGAATGTAAACTGGAGAAGGTGCCTTCTCCGACGAGTCGCCGTCAGCCGTTTTATTGACATTCGTGCGTATAGCCCATTCAGGCAATCTTTCCGGAGTTTTATTCTTATTTTGAAGCCACGGTGTAGGAGCCTTGGCTAAAGTGACTTGCGTTGGGGTACCCGGGCTTTCGGGAGTGTTCGACTGACTCGATGTGACTGTGATCGGCGTTACTTTCGTATCCACCGTAATGTTCCTCGCTGGTTCGGCTTGCTTGTCGGTTTGCTTGTCTGTGGCTAAGAGAAATATTCGAATTTCTTATGTATTTTTTTTTTTTTTTTTTATCAAATAGAAATAAAGATTTCTCTATTTTCAATTAATGTATGATATAATCAGTATGAGTATTCTGTGTTGGTACTTTTGATCTCTGTGTCATGTAAAATATTTGAAAATCTAAGAATGAATGCTCTATCTATAGTTAGACATATGTAGTAGATTTACTTTTTCATTTCCATAAATTTTCATAAGTACATTCACAGGTACATTCCTATCGTATTTAATTTCATCGAATCTGGACATGTACGAATAAATCTATATAATTTTTAAACACAATTTTTTTCGCGGAATTCTCATACTAGTTAAATTGTGATTACATTATGCATTTTTGTTTGATATGAGCATTGTAGAAATGCACCATTACATTATTAATAATTAATAAATTAATAATTGATCGATTCAATTTAATATTACTGATGCTTATAAATTTTTTATAAAAATATATAAAATTTCTTGCAAAAAATATTACCTCTGTCTGAGTTTGAACTTAATTTTCTTGCAACAAACATTTTTATATTACAAATAAATATTTTAATATTTTTAAAACGAACAAAAAGGAATGAAAGAAAATAGTAAAATAGAATAATTAGGGAATAAATTATATAATATTATGTAATAAGATAAGATTTAAAAGATTATTATTTAGAAGATTAATATTTAAAAATTTAATTTTAATGTAGGAAAAATTTTTGAAACAGTTTAGTCTATTAAATATATAAAAGTATTGTGAATACATGAAAGAAAATAAGGAAGAATAATTACCGTTTGATAATGTTCTATTGATCGAAGGTGGTTGTGACATCCTATTAACATTAGGTTGAGGTGGCACTGCGTTGGAAGGAAAAACAGGCACTGCGACTTGTGGCATTAAAAAATTCGCAGCGGGAGAGACTGCGGGCGATGATTTTGTTTCGACAGTGGATTTCGGCGGTCCTTCTATACCTTCGTCATTAGCATTTTTCGCGACTCTTCTCGCCATTCGTGGACTACGAATCTGCGAGAGATCTAATTTGCCACCCATACCCGGGGTATAGGTGAAAGGTTTCTTATCTTTCGTTAACATGGCATTCTGGATGGCGGCTGGTGGCTCATAAGCATCGTTGCTACCTACTTGTGGTCTCTTTGCTGCTGTGTGCTAATTCCATGAGATAAAGAAAAGCCGAATTAATAAATGATTCTTGCGTTTTATGAAAATTTCTAATTTATTTGCTGATTTTCAGTATTGTTATTTTTATTATTTAATTGTGATAAGACTAAAAATCATTTAGGTCGTGTTATCGTGTATATATTATTGAAACTGATATTCGAATAATGGATGTAAAAATATATAATCTTATTTAAAAAAAATGCTATTGTTAAAATATTAAGATCTATAACTTTTAAATAATCTTGAATAATATAACTTTATTTCTCTCTTAGAACTTAGAAATTTCCTACGCTACGAACTGTTTTCTCTTTATTAAAGATAGAGAAAATTCTTTTTGGGTCTTTCAGCTCTCTTTTCGCTTTTACGCCAATCTGGCAACTGGTATCTCAATAAATTCTAGAAGACTCAAGAAGAATTTTGCCGCTATTATTAATAAATTTTGAATAATAGTAAAATAGTATGTAATATTTTATGTGACTTACTTTAATCAATTTCTATTATATTTAAAAAAACATTTTTATTGAATTATGTTTAATAAATAATTATTCGAAATTTGCATTTAATACTATTATTATTTTTTGTTACATCTATATAATTTACTTCATCTTACCTCGGCAGTATTTATCCTCATAGCTGGCAGCTGACCAGATACAGGAGGTGGAGGAGGTGGCGGTGGAGGTGGTCCTGAAATTATTTTACAAATTGCACATAATGTAATATAATATATATGAAAAAGAGATATACTTAATTGATTATTGTGTTTGTTAATATAAATTTAATAAATTTAATAAACTAAATAACTAATAAATTAAAATTAGATTAATATTTAAGGCACCAATAATATCATCATTTATTACTGTTATTATATTTACTAAATAAAAACAATTAATAGAAATCACATTTTTAATTCTAATATAAAAAATTTAATATTTATCCTCTTTAATTAAGAAAGAATAATATATATGCATACCTGCCACCATGACATTCGGATTTCTGTAAATAAAAGTAAAAAATTTATTTATCTGAATAAAGCAATTAAACAATCTGTTTCGTAGATAAACAAATAGTGAAAGCTAGTAGTTTATCTACGTAAACAAAAATGTAAAATGTATCATGAAACAGTCTGTTTATAAAATCAAAATGTTTATTACACATCACACAAAATCAATCTTATGAATTACTTTATATAATTTAATATATATAATATAATTTATATAATTTTAATGTATTTTTTTTATAAATTATAAGTATTATTTTAAATAGTATGTTATATCAATATTACATTTTTATATTAACTAGCACATAAATTATAATTTTAATTATAAATTTATTATTT